TCTGGGGATAACTAGTGCGACAATTACTAATATGGAATATAGAAGTACGAGAAGTCGATCTTCGAAAAGTGCTTTCTATTTGATATTCCAGGCCTCGATGGCACGACAACCAGCTAGTTCGACGCCAAGAATGGGTTAAGATTTTATTATCTGGAGAACCGAATAAGATCATGAGATTTATGTTAGCCATCGTAGTATTTAAATTATGATTTTTTATGTGTCTATTGATTAAAGAAAACGAGTGATAATCCGTGAACAGAACATCTTTGGTGGTACATATTCACAGTAGGTCACTCGAAGCGCGGCTCGCAACGGTTAGGGTAATTCTAGTCTGTTGTTTACCAAAGCCATAGCAACAAGAACTAGTCTTTCGAGTTTCGCCGAAGTACACGCACTTGAATACATATATAGAAAGCCCTTATATTAAGGGATTACAGCAATGAATGCCCAGTGGTACCAATGCTCGCGCGCAACGCCTTAAGATAAGCTGTCCTGGTGAGCGGTATGTGTAGATCTTTATCCCTTGCTTCGTACTACCCATGCTGAAGACTCCTATGGCACACCTTATCTGCGAACTATGTCCGCTGAATCATAAAGACAGGTAAGTGCATTCTACATGAACCAACCCACCCTGAAGTTGTTGCTGTAGGGCACGCACGGCTTATACCGGATTATGTGCATGTTGCGAGTACTCTAGTTACAGGCCTGTTGTGCGAGAACCCTGGTCATAATTTAACGCAAGTGCCCCCGTGAGCAGGTGCACCGATAAAACGTCGTCCATTGGGAGGCGAATTATTAGTGTAGGCTGTGTTTGTTCCACGGGAATTACCACCACTCGCTATTGAGAAGGTTAGAAAGTTAAGAATACTATAACTACATGTATTGGACCCGACCCGAGGAATGAAGCAATGGGGTTAACCATTCGATATTGGTTCTCTTAAACCGAGGCTTTATTAACCAGATCTACGCATACTTATTTATAGGCAAGCGAGTGGTACCTGCAATTACATACCTATTCCTAGTTTGTCGTGGACGCACGCATAGCACTGGGTTGCGGAATATGCCATCAAACATGCCCGTGATGCCAGCAGGAACCTTCTTCTGAAGCTAAACCGTCGGGGACAGCGTTCGCTTCCACATCATCAAGCCGCAAGTGGCAACCTTCCTGACAAATTGAAAGTTACTCCCTTGCCTCTGACTTCAATTTTCCGTGTCTTATTACGTGGGCTGAGTGAATACAATACTTGATATACGAGCTCCGTTTTTTGATCCTCAACACTTCGTCTCGGCATATACTTCAAGGCGAGGAGGCTAGGCGCATTTAACACATGCAAATCATGCATAAAATAGCTTTAGCCAATTAACTAGGCTTCCGCCAACACTAATAGTAAGCTATGGCCGGCAGTTTCTCTAAAGACATCGCAAGCTCGATCTCTAGATTTAGGCACTATGATAATTTTCTAGGAGTCAAATCGTTCGGTTATGATACACTATCAACTAGCTATAAGCCATATCATGGCTCAAGACTCTCGGTCCCACTTCTTAAAAATTCAGCCCCAACTAGCATATGCGCGAGAAAAGTCTTTTAGTCGCGCCAGCTGAACTCACAGAAATTTTAAGTCGAGCAGATAAAATTCTGCTTTGTGCATTGGGAAGGGTGGGGCGCAGAACCTTCTGTCCAAATACTTGCACTTTAGGAAAACGATTTTGATGACGCCTAGATCATTTTGAGTAGAACAGGCATCAAAAACAATCAAGCCCTCGGCAATATAACCAGGAAAATCAGATCTCCAAAGCGATACGGGAACCAAGAACACCCCACACAAACACGCACAGGCTTGCGATTACTTATCGATGGTAATCCTTATCAAGTTTAAGCTTAAGTCTCAGGTATCTTCTTTAGCACAAATCGGGGTAATGGCGCATAAACATGTCCAAGAAAAATGGCCTAGATTTCCAATGTCTATCAGTCTTTATCAGTCTTCAACGTACGGCATTGCATAACGGCATCTGATCTGTTGGTGAACAAGCACAAAGAGGCGTCTTCTTTCAGCTCAAAATTCAGCATCAAGCCCGATCATGGCCGGCCTGGTTGTTACTTCAACTGAGATAGTCGTTCCGGGAAGCAGGGATTAGACTGCGAGAACCACTATATCAATACTAGTATATCTTGGGCTTTTGTCTTCAGCTCAAGGTTGTGATAATGCACTACGCCGGTACCCATTTAGGAGTTAGCGGTTATATTGCAAGACATGGGTATGGGGTACATGCTTACATACATACATGTATCTACATGTAGTTGTAACCGAATTCTGAAAACTGATGAGCACTGTATTGCATGTGTCTTTGAGATCGTAGAGAAACATCTGAATTGAAAATGTTTCATTATCTCATTAATACAAGCATCCAAGTTGAGATATATTACAACACCCTCTTAAACCTATACGTATATTCTTGTTTTTGATACATTGCTAAATCAGTAATGGTGTACTCGTTGCCCTAATTCAATGTCGTCAAAATGCATGCTGTATGATGGATGATAGGACCGTAATGTTGGTTTCGTTACATCTGAGACTGACTTTGAGATCCACTCGGTATTCCCGCCATCGACTCTGTCGATCAACCTCGGGATAATGCATATGTATGCCATAGAAGGCTAGAATTACGCCTCTTAATCTACAGTCAGCTTGCCTTACGCCCTATCTTCATGACACCCCTCGTGAGACCACCACACTCAAACTTCTGTTTCACTACTATACGATACACTCAACCGCAATGCTATATCCTCACAATCTTCATGAGTCTAGATCAAGCGTGAAGCTTCTATATAAACCCCAGACCCGCCATTCGAATTATGTCTTCATCCTTCATTCTGACAGACAAACATGTCGAGACTCGTGGGAACCTACCTCACTGCTCTCTTTGAGCAAGCAGCCTCCATCCCGGCCCAAAAGCTGGTATTATACTCTATCCTACTAGGCATAAATTCCCATCTAGGATACTTTATCCATGGCGACCATGACCACCTCTCTGGGACGTTTTTCATAGGCTCCTTCCTCATCCCATCTCTCATTTTTGGTGTGTTCCACAAACATCTTGGTATAGCCATAATCGAGGCATTGACCCTCACCGCAACGATATGGACCAGTTTTCTGGCAGGCCTCACAGCTAGTATCATCACCTACCGCCTATTGTTCCACCCGCTGCGCAAGTTCCCTGGGCCGTTTGGTGCCAAAGTGACAAAGTGGTGGAGCGTGGTAAATGCTGCAAAGACGCTGCAGAACCATGAGCTCGGTATGGATCTGCATGCAAAGTATGGCGATTTTGTAAGGACCGGTAGGTGACCCTGTACAATCCGTTTCCAGTTTTCTTTGATTCTAACGTGAGTACTCCAGGCCCCAACGAACTCTCCATCAACTGCGAAGCCATTGTCCCCATTGTCATCAAACTCGCCAAAGGCCCCTGGTACAACCTTGGAAAACCCAAGCCCTCCACACAGCTGACACGGGACCGTGACGTGCACCGAGCCAACCGCCGTCTCTGGGACAAAGCCTTCACCTCCGACGCCGTGATGCAGTATCTTCCCAAGCTCATAATCCGCTCCACGGAGCTTCTTGATATCATTGCGGCCCAGAACCCCGTTAACATCTCGGAGTACTTCAATTACTACATGTGGGACAGCATGGGCGACGCCACCTTCAGCAAGTCGTTCAACATGCTGCCGACCCACGGGAAGGAGAATGATTACATGCGTATCACAAAGAATGCAACCACGGGCTTGGCAATCTTCGGGCATGTGCCGTACCTGCCGCATATCTTGGATCTGATACCGGGCACGAATAGGGACTATAAAGGCTTTTTAAGGTGGTGTGACGAGTTGGTGAACGAAAGGAGGACGGTATGTTTGTAAGTCAATGATTTTAGGACAGAACGTGGGGGCTGACATTTTGATGCAGAGAAACCCTGAGAAGAAAGATGTATTTTCGTGGCTGTTGACGGCGGATGCTAAGACAATGGCTGGAATTGGTATGGCGAATGAAGCTCGACTAGCAATTCTCGCTGGAAGGTATATTTCATCTTCCTATTTATTTAGGTAGGCTCTTACTAATTTTGATTAATCTAGTGACACGACGGCTACAACACTCACAAACATATGTTTCCATCTTGCCGACAACCAGGACCAGCTGAAGATACTCCGAGAAGAGATTGACGCCCTCTACTCATCCTATCAAGATGACGAGGACAGAATATTCAAGGACCTCGCTATGGGCAAGTGCGACAACACAGACCATCTGGAAGGCGTAATCAATGAGGTATTGCGATTGCATCCAGTATTGCCTTCAAGTCCGCAAAGGATGGCACCTCCAGAAGGCATAACGATCGACAACACATTTGTACCCGGAAACACCGCCATCTACGCCCCCATGCACACGATTTTTAGAGGTATTTTTCTAAGAAAACTTGAGTATAAATAATTAAAGTTCATCCGACTAATTAGGAGATATTTAGATGCCCGAAACTTTGAGAGACCAAAGGAGTTTCTCCCAGAGAGATGGTATAAGACGGCAAAGTATCCACTGACACGTGATCAGAAAGTTTTTATCCCTTTCTGGACTGGTAATTTCTACCCCTGGGGCCCTTGACTAGCATGGAAAACACCAACTAAGCATGAAAAAATATATAGGGACATGGAGTTGTGCTGGCAAGCCTCTGGCGAACATGCACCTTCGGATTGTCGTTACAAGGATTGTGCGGAGATTTTCGATACAGCTGGCGGCTGGCATGAATGAGGACAAACTGAACAAAGATGCTCAGGACTTGTTCATTTTATACATGGGGGATGTCAACCTAATCTTGAAGGAACGGAATATGTGATGCGCAGGTACTAATCTACTGTTTTTTGTTTTTGTAACGCACTATGTAGCTACGAGTAATGGGGTACTAGAATTGAACCAGATTACCAAGGAGGAGGACCGAGTTCCTCACGTCCTGCTGCCTAACTAGGCGGTAGTTGTAGTCTGGCTGTTGAGGTCCAGTAGCTCTTTCATGCCCTCGTTCAAGTGACCCTTGTACTCGCCAGAGGTCTTCAGCTCCTTGTGTCTATGAAAGGCATGAGGCAGCCCGGGCCATCTACAAAAAAAAATAAAAACTATTAGCAATCTTCAATCTTCACCCCAACCACAGAAAATCACCCGCCCCCAGCAGCACCGCACAGCACTCACATTCTCAACTCGGGGCTCTTCGGATCCTCCCTCCTCAGCCCCTTCCAATACGCCACCCCGTCATCCCTCAGCAGGTCCGCGCCCGCCACAAACACAACCGCCCTCGGCAGCCCCTTCAACTCCTTCGGATCAAACAGCGGCGAGAAGTCCACATCCCTCGGATCCGGGCTCCCATACACCTGCTCCAGCACGCCCAGCTTCCCCTTCGCCAGCAGCGGATCATTCACATTATCGCTATACGCCTCAAACGCCGACAGCGTCGCCACGAACCCGCCATGGTCCCGCGTCGAGCACAACCACGGATACGCCAGCAGCTGCCCCACCACCTTCACCCCCGCCTCGGGGCTATCACGCGCGCGCCGGGAGACCACGCAGGCGAGGTTGCCGCCGGAGGACACGCCGCCGACGTAGAAGGCGCTGTGCGGGATGGTGGAGGAGGCCCAGCGCGCGGCGGCCCAGGCGTCGTTGGGGCCGTCTGGGAAGGGGTGCTCGGGCGCGAGGCGGTAGCTGGCGGAGATGATGGTGATCTGGGAGTGGTGGCTGATGTGGCGGAGGACTTCGTCGTCGGCGAGTTGGCTGCCGATGGCGAAACCGCCGCCGTGGAACCAGAGCATGGCGGGCAGCGGGGTGGGGGCGGTGGTGGTGGTGGTGGTGGTGGTGGTGGTGGTGGTAGTTGGGGTGGGGGTGTAGATGCGGGCGGGGAGGGGGTAGCCGGAGGCCCCGGGGTAGGTGGTGTCGGTTACTTGGACGGTTGTTTCGGCTGTAGAAGTGTCAGTATTATATTAAGTATAAGATATAGGTAGGTGGGTAGGTGGGTAGGCAGGTAGGTATCTCTGGGGGTCTTTTTCGATATAGCATGAGAGGTAGGAGGTAGGTCTGTAGATGTGGATATATACACACCCATATACTCTGGATTCGAGGCAAGATAGAGCTCCATCTGTCTATTCCTCTCGTTCCGCGCCTCAACAATACCGCCGCCGCCCGCTTGTTCTGGCGCCGCCGTCTTGATGAACTATTCCCCCGCATACCACAAGTATCTTAGCACTCACTTACACATAGAAATGTGGGGGAAACAAAGCTCTAAAGAAAAAACATGGAGAAGCGATCATTGACTGCTGCTAACTAACCTCAATCCATTCCGCGCTTGGCTTACTAGTAGTACTGATGTCGTCGGGGAGGCCGTAGAGTATCGTCATTTTTGAGAATATGTGGGGGGGGGGGGGGTGGGGTATTGTTTGTTCAAGATAGCTCGTATATAGCTTCTACTTGGTATCCTGGTTCTTGGTTCTTGGTATCTACAATAGGTACGGGTTGTTTATATACAACTGCTTCCCCCTCCCCCTCCCCCGCCCTCCCCCAGAAAAGCTATATATCGTTAAGCTTCCTCGGCCAATTCCAGCTAGCGCTGCAATGCCGAGGCGGCCGAGGCACCCAGCGGGGTTGCTACCAATCCCCGGCATTCCTGGCATTCCTGACATTCCTGTGCTATATTCCCCGTGATTTTCGGAATTCCGTATACTAGTACATAGCAACCAGCAGAAACTGGCCACAAAAGTCGGTAATCGCGGTTCATACCGCTAGGGGTATGTTCTCTCAGCTTTGAGCTCTCTAGTCACATAACTATCTCCTCTATATCTTGTGTGGTTGTGGAGTTATAGTCGTTTCATGCTCTATCCCTCATATACAAAATTACCACATCCCTGAAACCCTAACCCTGTGCTTAACCTGGGTAGATAAGATAAGTACTGCTACTCGTACCGCAGAATCTCAGGAATAACGAAACGAACTGGGCTAGAATACCACTTACCCATTGGTCAAGACGACCAAAAGTTACGCTTTGGGTCTGTCGGATTGAGGCTCAACAAGCATCTGACCAATCCGAAGCCCAATATTCCAGTCTAGTTCGTTTCGCTATTCCTGAGATTTTGCGGTATTCAATTGGGTTTAACCTCGGCGGGGCATGTAGGTACCAGCTGTAAGCACCGGGACAGCCCTGATTGGTCGGAGTAGGCAGGGTGGGATGGGGGGTGCCTCGGAAAGATGCGAGCGTTGAGCCGCGCTGTTATGCAGGCCAGTCTTGATTTCCTGGGTGTGAGGTGATGATATGGACGTAGCTAGCGAGAGGGAAACATTCCTGCGGGAATGGCGAGATAGCTGTGGTGATGAGAGAGGGCTTCTTTGTAAAAATGGGAGAGGGGGAATGGACATACCTGATGTGGTGAAAGAGAGCATCAGACGATTCAGACCCTTAATCCATCCATACTCGCCAGTCAGCAAGCTAGGTAGAGTATTTACCTTGCTTAGCTACTCTTCCACCCAGCTAGGTATTTCCACGGCCACTCAGATTCACCACCGCCGCCAAGCAGCACCCGGACAGACCGAGCTCGCCAACGTGTCAACCTCTCTCCCCTCTCTCCTCTCTCCCCTCTCTCCTCTCTCCCCTCTTCACTTCTCCTCACTTCTCCTCCCTCACTCGCTGTCATTGCAAGCGCCGCCGAACACGGGAACGGTCCATGGGGGGGCGTGATGGTCAGCCAGTTGCTCTAATTAGTCAGAGCGCTAGGCCCAGAGGGAACTGAGTGGTTCGCAGGCCACCGCGCGCCGGTCGAGTGATGATTTGTGATCGCCCAAGACAGGCTAGACAATTGCAAGGCAGGAGAGACACACGCCGGTAAACGGACGGGCGGTAGAGACATAGGTTTTTTTTTTTTTTTAAATTTTTGCAAAAAGTGCATTTCCCGGGTCTAGGGAATAGATCTCCCGGCCCGTTAGAATTGCCGGGGGGAGGTTTAAGGATAGGAATAAGAAGCAAAAAGGCCTTGGCTAGGGGAGAAGAGCTAAAGCTACATAGCTAGCAGTGAATGAGGGAGTGCACTTGGAGCGGAGGGTCATGGATGAAGGAATTGATGCCCTTGGCTTGCCTCACTGTGCAGCGCAGTCTGGCGTGATTGCGAATGTACCTAGCTCGCCTTCAGGTAGAGTACATAGAGTAGGTAGAGGAGCTACTTAGACACCCGCGAGAGTCAAGAACATGTCTCGGGGGAAGAGGGGGGTTTATCATTGCATCAAGTATCCCAGCCGGCGATCAGAAAACCGTTACCTTCAAACTCCTTCTCAAGGCTCTCCCTCTCTAGCTCTCTTCTTGCGCTCCCTCAGTCAGTTCAATTACATACACACGTTTCTCAGACACAAAAAAAAGTCAACCTTAGGCAACTAGTATGCAATCAGAGTTTAAACAACAACAAAAAAAAGGACCCTTCTGTCTAAGACCCAAAGTGCAGAACCAGAAACTCAGGGGCAAGAGAAAACCCCACTCGGTAGCCGTGCCAGTAATCCATCGCCGTTCGATGCTCTGGGTTAGGGTTGCAATTGCGTGAGCAGCAGCTCAGGGTCCAGCAGCGCTAGCTACATGTATGGCCATTGGCTCCCTCCACTCTCCATCGGTGCGGCTTAGCGAACGGCGCCTCAGTTTGAGAATATGTATGCCCCCCGTGCTGGAGGGAGCGACATGCCTGCCTACACTCTGGTCCAGAATCGACTCTACGGCGCTTCCCACGTGTGCCCTCAATTGGGGCCAGCATGACAAGGAGAGGACAGGCCCAATCGCGGGGGGGAGATGATGATGAGGGGCATAGAGGGTACATGTATATTCTATGATTCTCAGTCCGAGTACAGTAGGTTAGTGGTTAGTAGGCAGTGTATATTGTACCTGTATGTACTGTAAACTCCGCTGGACCTGGTAGACTCAAGTCATGCCCAGGAGTACTATATATGGTCCCACATGTACTCTACATGCTGTCCGGGATAATAAGATAATAAGCATCATCATCATCATCATCATCCTCGTCCTGAGACAGCGGTTGAGTGGTGCGTGGGTGCGGCTCAACGTTCTGCCTTTTATTCTTTGCTTTTTACCCCTGTCCGCCTGCCTTAGTGACAGTTCATACTCTTAGCAGACAATGGAGCTACATGCATACATCGTATCCTCTACAACCTACATGTACCTATCTCTCTCTAGGTAACGAGAATTGAATTGTTCATGATCAGACACTAGCATCCATCGTATCGTTCGTTCGTACTCAGAAACCCTCCCTCCCTGCATATACGGCCGGTGGATGTTATAGGTATATGCGATGTGGTCAAACACTACTCGTCGGTTCCTGTTCAGGTTTTTTTTCTCTGCAGCACCACCTTCATGTAGCTCCCCAACCCATGCACGCAGCGCACCGTCCTTGTTTCCCAGGACAGGTCCGCAACGCAGGTACACGTATGTTTTGACAGCCTCTGGTTGGACCGTTGCGGGGTAGCTACCAGGGGGGAACCGGCCGTGCTACATGATTCTGATGTATGATCATAATGTTTCTCATGGAATTTTTAATTGAACGGTTTTTTTTAATTCTCCTTCGAGGTTACCGTTTGGGGTCGGGGAGGTTTTAACTGCCTGCCACTTGGATTGAAACATGGGTGGTGCAATGTTTCCTTTAGGGGGCGTTACGGTGCCTAATACAGACAGACACACAATTGCAAGACTGTGAGGGTTAATTGTGAATAGTACATGCCCTCGACTCGCTCCGGTATCATCATCAAAGCTGACTACATGTACATATGGTAGTATACTATACTCTGCTCAGCTACATTCAATGGTATAGAGCAGCTCTGTTATATCCTGAAACCACGCCAGCAACACCACACGCACGTCCGCATTGTTTTTCCAATCTGCTCACGGGCCGGCCCGTGTCATTAGACGAAGATCATTTAGTTATCTTCATGACGTTTAGAGTCGGTGTATATTAATAACCTGCGGGGGTTTTTTGGGGGTGTGTGAGGAGGAGCGGTGAAACTTGTACCTATCACCCTAAAGCTCCCCCCGTTGATATAAGGTGCGTCTTTAGCTGCTTCCCACAAACCTCCCACAGCTAGTTGGCATCTGGAGTACTAGCTACTTCTACACCCAGAGCTTTCGAGTGCGGTATTGTACTTTTATTTTTTCCTTTCTTTCTTTTCTCTTTCCTTCTTTATTCTTATTATATACAGAGCTGGGTATGTTGGAACCTTCTCCTCCCTTGTGGCTTTTTTATGCTAGATTGAATGCGTCTATAAGAAACTAATGCTGCTCTCTGTGTGAAGACTCTTTTTGTAGTTCTTGTATTTTCAATTCCCTTCAGGCTTCAATTTCAATTGTAGAAAACATACACACATAATTTTTAGGTATACAAAGCAATTATGGTGAGATTTCCCCAGATTTTTTGCAATTCCCCCTGCGTATGGGCATCGTGTTTCATAGCTATCTATATCCATAGCTATAGCTGTCTCTATCTCCGTTGAAGTATGCAAATATACTAACCCACACTCCCTCCACAGGCACAACCACGGGATGCAGAAGAACAGCGAATAAATAGGGTACATATCTCCAATTCCCTCCTTCTCTACCTCTAACAATTACACCAATTGACTCTCCAAACCCACTCTAGATCTTCGGTTCCTATCTCTACATCTTCCCCTCTCTTCTCGTCTTCACCGGCATAGTCCGCACCCTCTACACCGCCTACCGCAGCCACCACCTCCCGCGCACCGATCCCGAATCGCGCACCCCCAACCGCCGCGTCTACCCCCCCAGCGCACTCTCCAGCCTGTTCTCGCGCTACATCAAATACCCTGCGCTCTTTGGCAACCGCCATTCGCAGCCCATCGGCTGGTACACGTTCCCGACAAGGCTCGAGGCCCTGCTCGTCGGCATATACTGGTTTATTAATATATCCTTTCTATTTGTCAAGCACGGCAACGCCGACAACGGTATCGATGGCTCAAAGATTTTGGCGGACCGCGCGGGAGTGCTCTCGCTGTGGAATATGCCGATCTTCTTCCTGCTGGCGGGGAGGAACGACTTTTTGGTGTGGTTGACGGGATGGTCGTATGGCACGTTTCATGTGTTTCATAAGTGGGTTGCGAGGGTGTCGGCGCTGATGGGAATGGTGCACTCGGTGGCGTATGCGGTGTATATGTATCAGAGTAGGTTTTCCCTCTTTTTCCTGATTGGGTGTGGTGGGGGAGAGTGATTGCGTATGATGCTGACGGGCGGGTGATAGTTGGTGATGAGGCGAGAAGATGGAATCCGGCGTATTGGTGGAATGGTGTTTCGGTATGTGGATTTGAGTGTTTTTTTGATATTGATATTGGAAGAATTGCTATTGATATCGATTGCAGGCTATGATAGTGATGGGATTGATTCTCGTGCTGGCTATATTTCCGTTCCGGAAGAAGGCCTACGAGTTCTTCCTCATAACGCATATCATTGGAGTGATGGTATTTCTGATATTCCTCTACCAGTAAGTCACTTATATGCACAGAACAAGTTCTCTCATATACCATATTTTCTGCAATATTAACATTACCACCCCCGCACAGCCACCTAAAGCTCTCCGCAACACGCATGTACAATCCGTGGCTCTGGGCCTGCATTGCCATGTGGGCCTTCGACCGCTTCACCCGCCTCCTCCGCATCCTCATCCTCAACTACGGCGCCTTCTCGCGCAACCCGCAGAACCACCACCTGGCCCGCGCAAAGTTCGTCAAAGGCACCGACGTCATCCAGCTCACCGTCTACCCCTCTGCCGAGGACGTAAACTACTTCCCGGGCGCCCACTACTTTGTCTTCCTGACCGGTACCTGGCGCTTCTGGGAATCGCACCCATTCACCGCCGCTGCCTGGCGCCCGAGCGGACCAATGATGCCTGCATATAACGCGGCCGACATCCACAAGATCAAGCGCAGCTTGTCAGGCTCGCTGAAGAACTCGTTGAAGGAGCCGAGACTGCCGCCGAGGGCGCGCACAGCAGACTTGAAGAAGGAGATGGGACACCTAACGACCGTAAAGGAGTTGGGTCCGTTCAAGGAGGTTGGGGAGCTCAAGGAGCTCACGGCACCAAAGGCGAAGCGCCAGGAAAAGGCTATCTACCTTGTTAAGCGGCCCGGCCAAGGGGTCATCATCATGGCCGATAACGTGAAGCCGCAGACGCCCGCCCCGGAGCGGAAGAAGAGTGTCAAGCGCTCTGCTTCGCAGCGGAGTAGGAGCGGTTCTAGGAAGCCTCAACGTAGTGGCTCTAAGAGCTCTCGGGATGGATCCAAGATCTCCCGTGACGGTTCTAAGCTCTCGCGTGATGGCTCCAAGAGCTCTCGTGACGGCTCTAAGATCTCGCGCGATGGCTCTAGGCGCTCCCGTAAGAATTCCGAAGGCGGCACCGACCGCGGCTCCGAGAGCGAGAAGTCCAGCGAAAGCGGCAAGTTCTCGCAGAGCGAGACGCTCGCCGTGGGTAGCGGTCATGGCAGCGGCGGCGGTACTGCCGACGGCAGCCACCGCGGAGGAGGGCAGTCAGAGAGATCCGACGAAGACTTCCTGGAGGAGAAGACGGTGTTTGGCAGCGAGAGCGAGAAGACCACAGCAAAGGTGACGGTCACGTCGTCGCAATTCGAGGACGACGAGGAGGAGGAGGAATACCCTATGGTAATACGTCAGGGCGTCCCTAGCACCATTGCCAGTACTGTGCGGAAGGGCAAGCAGCGCCCGAAGCTGACCTTCTTTATTAAACCACGGAAGGGCATGACAGCCACCCTCGCGGAGCGCATCCGCGAGCACGAGCGCCAGAACGAGATTCAGGGGTTTGCGAGAGGCCGCGAGCTGGAGATCAAGTGCCTGATCGAGGGTGCATACGGCGTTAACCACCCGCTGCACCTGTACGAGACGGTAGTGCTGATCGCCGGCGGTGTCGGCATCACGACAATCCTGCCGTATCTGTGCGACTACATGGAGCGGGCGCGCGGGTCGGAGCGGCGGACGATGACGCAGCGGTTGGTGTTCCTGTGGACGGCGAAGGAGGAGGAGCTGGTGGAGAACCTGGTCTCGAAGCGGTTCCCGAGAGGGTGCCTCACGAGACGGGATATCAGCATGCAGCTCTACGTCACAAAGATGAAGCCGGGGCAGACGGAATTCCTGCCGGGCGTGAAGTATAAGAGGCCGGATATCGGCGAGATATTGAGGGCGGAGCAGGCGAGGCTGGTGGGGAAGATGTCGATTCTGTCGTGTGGGCCGTCGGTGCTGGTGGATATCGTGAGGACGGCGGTGGTGGACTGTCTGGATAAGGATAGGAAGCATATCGAGTACTTTGAGGAGAGTTACTGATTGGGGATGGTTTGTACAGCATCATGTTTGATGGGATTATTTGGGGGTTTTTATTTTTCTATTTCTTTTTTATCATTTACCACCATCACTACATACTGTAGGTTTCTTTTGTGGTTTCATTTGTTCTACCTTCGACTTCCTCAATCACCACTTTTGGAAAACAGTTAACCCAACACTGTTTTTCCTCTATATCAGAACTATAAAATAAAACTAGACACCTCCTATAGGTGTCTAGCTATGGGTCTATTCCCATTGGGCAGTTACTTCTAGCTATGTATAAGCTACATGCAGCTACGTAGTTGAACGTTAATAATTAAATCCCGTTTCAACCTAATTTCCACTGTCCACAAATCATTAAATACCAAACCAAAGCATCCTACTGGCTACCACATGCTGTGCCCCCAAAGACCAACGAATGAAAAAAATTTCCCAGCTGCTCGCATGGCAAAATTAAAGCTAGATAAGCGATGGTTGTGCTTATCTTGGGAATATCTACTCTAATAACGTCGGCAGCTGTGCACGTGTGGTATGTTTGAGTGTTTACCGATTGGAGGGGGACGGCGGCGAATGGGAGTGGGGGGTACACGTATTTGGTCGGCCGTTGGTCACACCAGAGATGGTACTGGTGAAAAGAAAAAAATGGTGATATATCTACATAGGTAAGACGAGAGTGTAATATGTATGCAGAGAACATATCATGATGCAGAGTTGAGTCTCAGAGCGTAATAGCCCTTTTGATTTTTTCCTTTCTCTTTCTTTCCATTTTATTCCATTCCCGTCAACTACCAATGGCATCACAGCACCTACATATATGTACATACATCCACACCTCGACCGCGCACCTGACGAACACACATTCCTCCCTAGCTACTCCTCCTCGGCCTCCTACTCCTCCGTCCTCCGGTCCTCCGTCTCAAACACCCCAAACCCTTCCTCCACAAGGAGAAACACGTTCATCCCGTTTTAGACCTGCGACAACCGCTCCCATCCACCAATCGCCGCACGTCGCGCGGGCCAGTGAAACTTTTATCGCCCCCTCTCATCGCAAGGTCGACGCAGGGTCCCTGTTTGACTCTGAAACTAACCCGAACCATAGCCCCCCCCCAAACCTCCGGCCTCATCTCGAGAGCATTGGGGTCTTTGGCGTGGGTGTGGGCCAGTCGGAGAGGGGGGGGGGGGGGTTCTCGGGGGTGCTGGGGGTGACGTTGTGGAAGGATGCAGTGGGGTCATGGGCGATCACTCGGCTATGTGTGGGGTTGGGGTTGTAATTGGTGGTTAGGGTTTTTAGAGTAGGAGTACTGGTCCTAGTCTGCATGTAGAGACGGCGTAAAGTATCTCCGATTATGGCAGTTATGTAAGTGGTAATAGAGTTATTTAATATACTACTAACCCCCGCCGTCTTCTCAAGTCATGCATCTACCTACATGTAGGTAGAGGTCTGGAACCAAATCGCCGGCTTATCTGAACCCAGCAATTCCAAATATCTTCAGCCAGATATATTATTTTTTTGATTATTTATCCTTATCCAGGCCAAATGGACGTCAGAAGAAGGAGCAAGCACGTCTTTATTAACAGAGGTGCCGATATGATGTGCATACGGCACGTCACGGCCCTTGCAGAAACGCCGGTCTTGGCGCTCCGGCGGATATCCGGATGAGAGCATTGGGTTAGGTATTCCAAATCCCTCTCCGGTGAGAGCGCGAAACCCGCGTAAATGATAATGAAGCGAGATGCCGGATTGTTTACTTGGGAGCTTCTTTCAAACCCACTACTATATGACTACACCATGTAGAAGCTGTGCATGTGACAGGACTAGCCTCCTTGCTCGATGCGGCTTCTCAAGGCCTTAAGATCCTTATGTCCTTAAGGCATAATGCACAAACACGGACATCGACATGGAGGCCGACGGAAAGAATGACTTTACAGATCTAGTTCAGGGTTCGGAGTCAATGATTAACATAGTAGAGCCTCGAAGTCCACAGACTACCGTAAGAGCACTCGCTAGTTGTGATACTCATAAAGAACATAAATTATAATAGTTTAGCTGCCGTTCCAACATTGTTGATATCGTGACCTATAAATAGTACGTAACGCACCTTGATGGAGACGTTGGCATTAATATTTGTCATTTGAAGATCGCCGTCCCAGCCAGAGTTTCAACCTGTCAAAATATTTGTTTTCTCCGCAATGATAATAAATGCACTCTTCTCCGCGCGCATCCATCTCATCAAGGAACAATGAGCAGAAGTCAGAGTACAGCAGCCTGTATGTAGTACATGGGCATAAAATTGCAAGTCTTGTTTGCAATTGCCAAAGATTGCGACCGCCCCAATTTCCGCGGGTCCCGCCTGAATGGGGAAGTGATTCAAAATCCCAATTCCAAATACTTTGAACCCGTGCGGGTGCTTTCCTTCCCCCGCACCCACCCTTGCCTGCTTACATGACATCATTAACTCGTTGGGGTGGGTGGTGGGATGGGATGGGTTTCCCCGCCATGCTTTCAATTGCTTGGGAGGCTTTATTTCTACCTCATCTTTCATTTCATCTCTTCTCTTACAACCATCACCCATTAACATCTTCAATTCCACCCTTCAACTAAATCCACCAATTCACATCAATCATCATGATTTCCGTTGGCAGCACTGTCCCCGCCCCTCCCAAGTCTCTCTGGGAGAACTCTGATAACAACACTGTTACTTTCCCCACCTCCGGAAAGTACATCATTCTTGGTGTTCCCGGAGCTTTCACTCGTTTGTCTCTCCCACCTCCCATCTCGCATCTCTCGTATCAATTTTGTTTTTTTCCACCCAATAACTGACACAATTCCGCTGCAATTGTAGCTCCTTGCTCTTCCCAGATCCCAGGATACCTTTCTAAGTACGATGAATTTGCTGCCAAGGGTGTTAAAGACATCTACGTTGTTGCCGTGAACGACATCGTGAGTGTCTTGATAAACATTCCATCTGCAAGCTTTTATCTGGGATAATATAACTAACAAACCAATTTCACAGTTCGTTGTCAACGCCTGGAAGGAGAAGCTCGGAAAGGACTCCAAGGTCCACTTCGTCGCTGACTGCACCGGTAAGGCCCGATTAGTGCCCCACAGTAACTATCCCTAGAATCATTTAACTGACCTGCAAATATAGGTGAGTTCATCAAGTCTCTCGGACTTGACTTTGATGCCACTGGTCTTCTCGGAAACAGCCGCTCCAAGCGCTTCGCTGTCGTCGTTGAGGACGGAAAGGTCAAGAACCTTTATGTTGAGGATGAAGCCCCGGAAATCACTGTCACCGCTGCGGAGAAGGTTCTTGCCAGCTTGTAAGGATGTGCCTTTGGGGAAACAAAAAAGCGGTAGATATCAATTGAAATAATGAATTGCTTTGTGACTTTTGTCGTGTTCGTTCTTTGTTCCTCGCTAGTAATTGACATTCGAGCTTGATTGAAGGCTTTGACGACTTGGCGCCTTGCATAGATAAAGTACAGCTCTGGTGCAGAGCTGGCCATCATTTTGTGAAATGGCTGTTCAAAGCGGTATCCTGGAATGATCGAGCAGGTTTACGAACAAATTGCATCTAGCGAATTGGAGTTTATTAATTGTAATGCTGTAGTATGGTCGACAGACTAAAACATTCTATATCAAATCAAACGCCCCCAAGCTCCTTCTCTACCGCATCTGCCATTTCCCCCAATGTATTAAACCTCCACTCCCATGCTCCCACTTTCACGAACTCATCATCCTCCGACCCAATCGTTGCATCCTTCCTACTAATCCAGGCACTCCTCAGCTTCATGATCTCAGCCGGAACATGATCATGATGCAGGCTCTGAGCCGTATGCAGAATCTGATCTTTCTCTACACCAAATCTCTCCTTGACCTCTTTGAGCAAATACTCAAAGTTCTTCAAGTCCGGCTTATAGCTACCGATGTCCTGAGCTGTCAGGATAGCATCGAAAATACCTTCACCACCCAACTCAGGCAACGAAGTTGCGAAAGAGTCACGGTCGACGTTACTCAAAACCACCAGCTTGAAGTGCTTCTTGAGTCTCTTCAACGCATCAACCGTATCCGGGAATGCCTTCCAGTCCTTGATGGACGCTCCAAACGCATCCGCCTCCTCCTGTGATGGTGGGGGCTGCGAGAGGGTAGATGCAATCTGCTGATACACGGTGGAGAGGACTTCCGAATACTTCATCTCGGGGGCTTCCTTCTGCTGATCACCTTCGAGAGTGTTGTAGAGATTTATGAACTCTTCACGGGAGAGGGTGTTTGTGGTGGGGGAGTAATGCGTGAGGAGGGGCTGGGCAGCAGCGTAGAGTCCGCTCTCCCAGTCGATGAGAGTACCGTAGACATCGAACGAGAGCAGCTTGAATGGCTTGAAAGAGGCAGTGTTATCGTTATCGGTGGTAGGTGCAGACATTGCGAGATTTTAATATCGAGAGCTTTAGATACGGATTGATTGTGGATGGCCGGTATCTTTGTATCGTGATAACGTGCACACGATAGAGGGCCCTAGCGCAGGCCTTATAAAGCTTCCCTGGTAGCTATCAGTACTAGCATACCACATGGTACCCAGGCCAGATTGAAAGTGGGGTAGAATACAGCATCTGTCGAAGTTTCTGGCCATTTCTGCAGGGACCGGCGAGTACCAAGCAGTAGAATGTGTGCATACGTGAGTCGGTAAACAAGGCAGGCAGACAGGCAGACAGGCAGACAGGCAGACAGGCAGGCAGGCATCATAGATATCAATAACAGAGATCAGCACTATATTACAGCTTGTTAATTGTCCGATCCTTGATGTGGCGATTATGATGAGTTCAGTGTCGACCCCAGATTCTTCTTTTTGTGAAACGGAGCTGGACTGTTTGGACTATTTGAACTATTTGTATCTTATCCTCGCGCGCGGTACCTGGATGTGAAGACGGGTTTCAGCCCAGCGCAACCAGCCAATGGCATCCGAATGCGGGTTGTAGATAAATAATCCTCGTCCGAGCGGGCCCCCAAATTTAGCCTCATCAATTAATAGTAGAGCAGGCTAGTACATGATGTAGTTACTCTAAATACCCGAGAAAGGGAGCAAACATGCAAATCTACAGGTCTTTCAAGATACACGCGAGCCAGCAGCCAACCAGAAGCCCGCATTCACAACTTTCCAAGATCTTGGAAGCTAGAAGCTGGAATACCAGGTCTAATTGCATGATAATCTCGGGAGGCGAACGGGAGGCGACAGGACAAACAGAACTGCGCCTGGAGAGAGATATTCGCGGCCGGTTGTCGACGTCGTTAAATAACCTTTGCCTCCCCCGGATATTCATCATGTAGATACATGTACTTCATAGAACCTTAATATCCTCCTCATACATACACACACATTCATCGTAAAACACAGTGCACATATACACAATGCTTCCTTCATCACTGCTATTAACACTCCTCGTGCTTCTCCCAAACATCTCGCACGCCCAAACCACCTCCGCCAAACGAGGACTAACATACTTGACCCCCGAGCACCCCAACGATGACGAATCCCTGCTTTCTGCAGATACCTCCCTCACCTGGTACTACAGCTACAAATCACTCCCCGATGCCGCCGTCACAGGTCTCGAGTTCGTGCCCATGCTCTGGGGCGATCACGATAACACATTCGTCGCCGACGTGACCTCGCAGCTGCCAAACGTCAAGTACGTACTCGGCTTCAATGAGCCAGACATGTCGCTGGATGTCGGCGGAACTGCAATCTCGCCAGAGAGAGCAGCGTTCTTGTGGAAGCGCGATATACAGCCGCTGAAAGGGCAGGTGAAGTTGGGCGCGCCGGCGGTTAGTAGTGCGGAGTGGGGGATGCCGTGGTTGAAGAGGCTTGTGCCCTTTCTAGCTGGTGAACTGGTTGTTTGGATTATTTAGTAGGATTGGACTGACGGTGCTGTGGTTGGTGGTGGTAGCTTTTTTGACGCCTGTGATGGGTGCTCGTTTGATTTTATACCGATCCATTGGTATGGCAACTTTGAAGGGCTTGCCTCCCATCTTGGACACTACCATGTTACCTTCCCAGACCAAAAGCTGTGGATCACAGAGTTGGGCTATGCCCATGTCGACCTGTTTGTTCCCCCTATTCCCTCCCTTCAGCAAGAATGAATATACCTAGACTAACTCTCAAAATCAAAGGCAAGCAACTGAGGACTTCTTTAACACAACAATGAACTATCTCGACAACCTCGACTATGTCGAGCGCTACAGCTGGTTCGGCGCCTTCAGAGCCGACGTTAGTAATGTTGGCCCCAACGGGGCAATGCTGAGTGCTGATGGCGAGCTGACGGATATCGGGTTGTGGTATCTGGACCTTGAAGGGTCGGGGGCGAGCTCTGGCACAGCTGCAGTGCTGGTGAAGAGGGTGGTTCTTTTGGGGGTGGTGGGATTTGCGGTGGGGTGGGGGATGCTTTGTTAGGACTTTTCTTTTTGCTATTGTGTTTAGGGGGCCGGTTGCTTATATTATTTCTTATGGCGTTTATCATTGGGCATGGGCGTTAATTTTTAGCATTTTACTTGGAGGATACATTTGTGGGTAGTTGTTTAGCTAGCTAGTTATACCATACGAGAAGTGATTTGTGTTTAGAAGACATTGGTCGGTTTGGGCGGTTGTGGCTTTGGAGTCACGACCTATCACTCGCTGCGAATATTAGTCGAGTTGAATTGTGGAGTTGATTGATTGATTGATTGGTTGATTCGAATGGTGGAATGCTTAAATAACAGGACAATCTTTCTTTTACAGATTATAGATCGCATTAAATTAAGAATATGTTACTACACTCAAGGCAGGTTTTTAGAGGTATAAGCTATGCGCCAGTCCACTGATCTAGTTCTATAGTGCTAAGTGAGCTATTTAACTTTAACCCTAACCCTAGAACAAGTTCCACCAACTCTGACTTGAGACAACATTTCCCTGCTCTTAGAATTCCCTCGATTATTCACGCATTCTGAAGTCTATCACAGCGAAATGATTAATGTGTCTACACAGCTACCGCGTCGAGAGTGTCGGAAGGACACTGTATTCTTAATTCGGTATGAAGCGAGGCGATAACCGATGAGTGATCGGCGGCATGACAAAATCTACCTAGTTTTTTTCTCGGCCCCCGCCATCAACATCTCTCTACGTACCTAGAGCCTTTGTTTGCAACTGCAATTGAAATTCTTCACGATCGAATAAATAACCTCAATCACCATCAAAATGCGTCCCTCATTCGCAGCACCCCTCCGTTCTCTCCTACGCCCCTCCTCCGGGCTTCTCACAACCCCAATCCTGCGAGCACCTCTTCAATTCCGCCCCCAATTGCAACGCTCCGTGGCCCCCATTCGATCAATCCAGTATGCTACTGGCAACAAGATCCGTGAACAGCCCCGTCTCCGTCTCGGAACCGAGGCTCCTAACTTCACCGCCGAGACTACTCATGGCAAAATTAACTTCCACGAGTAAGTCCCTAGCCTGTCCATTGCTACCATCCCCAGGGAACAGTGATTTCTAAATGTGACATAGGTTCATTGGAGACAACTGGGCAATTCTCTTTTCTCACCCCGCCGATTTCACTCCTGTTTGCACCACCGAGCTTGGAGCATTCGCCAAGCTCCAACCCGAGTTCACAAAGCGCGGTGTAAAGCTCATTGGTCTCTCTGCCAACGGACTCGAGAGCCACCACCAGTGGATTAAGGATATTGATGAAGTCACTGGCAGTGAATTCACTGGAAAGCAGAGCTTCCCCATCATTGCTGATGAGAGCAGGGAGGTTGCATGGTTGTATGACATGGTTGACTCGCAAGATTTGAAGAACATCGACGAGAAGGGAATTGCATTCACCATCAGAAGCGTCTTCGTCATTGACCCAAAGAAAAAGATTAGATTGATGATGATGTACCCGGCTTCAACCGGAAGAAACTCGGCAGAAGTTTTGAGGGTTGTTGATTCTTTGCAGACTGCGGATAAGAACGGCGTTACCACCCCTATTGATTGGACGTGAGTTTAAGAGAGCCACTCTGGTTTTGTCTTGGGAAATGATCGATTGACTGGCGAATAGTGTTGGACAAGATGTGATTGTACCGCCAAGTGTCTCTACTGAAGATGCTAAGGCGAAGTTTGGAGAGGACAACGTCAGGGTGTTGAAGCCGTAAGTGTTCCCTAAATCTTCATTTTTCGCTGTATGTGTATATTTTTAATTTACTAAAACATCCGTGTAGCTACCTGAGATTCACTACTCTTAAGAAGTAAAGACCACCGTAAATATAAATAGATTATCAGGGAATAAAACCAATTTGGCTTTATTTACCCTCTCTAGCGAAATTTCGTGCATAAGTGATGTCTAAATACCGCCAAAATTATTTATCATAGAAAGAAAACTTTTTCTATGCATGGATATTTTCATTACAACCAAAAGCGGGAAGACTCGGAAGCCAGGTAAAATCTTCGGCTACCGGTTATAACTTCCTTCACATCCCTAGCTACAGGATGATTGCTAAACCGTCTACAATATACTTGCCCTGTAACGTTATGTGCTAGTTATATAGGTAATCGATTTACGGATCCAGGTTCTCACTCTTTATCTAACTTTGAGGGTACAAATACTCGCTTTTAAGGGTGCTCGTGCAGGAACTAGTTGGCACAATTTTCTGTATTTTGGCTTTTGTGGTTAAAGCCAAAGGGCCAAAGGTTGGATAAAAGGGGAGTTTTTTTCGTGTGTAATTGATTTGACGGGCAGCAACTTTCAGAAGCTCTGGTGGATACCACTAGTTCATTCTTGTACATGATATTTTGCCAAATTCTTTCTGTTGGGTGTACGGCTGGGAGAGGGCTGTATGTAAACAGAACATGATCATGATATTCCACTAGACATATAGATAAATGTACTCGTAAAGGCCAAAGAATTCTAGATCTTCAAAACTACAAGTAGGTTTAGAAACTGCATTTTTCAAATAAATTGTAGTAACTTAATAGGGTTTTGGCTAGAATCCGTTTATTGAGATGACGTAGAGCGCTAGTATGCATGGCTGAAACTACACACGTTGTTTTTTATTTCAACACCAATCTAACCCCCGCTCTCAGTCATGAACACTCACATTCCACCGCTTGCTCTCATCAGCCGATGTTAATTTCTAATCCTCTTTTATCTCATGATCCTACTCGCTCGTCTTCGCCAAGAATACGCACCTGACTTAATGAACTCAGGGATTTGACCAAATGAACTTTCGCTCTCGGCCAGGTGAAAATTCTTGGCGAAGACGCACGAGTACACTCGAGGTGCAGATATTTGGAGGATGGTACTTTTGAGTATATGTATATGTAGGCATGTGTCCACATGTTCCCCAATCCATGAGCTCAAACATCTGAATGTGATAGTAACCACACTATCGATATCAGGGCATGGCCACTGAACGCAATGGCACTGTTCTGGATTCGCTAGGTGAGAAGAATCCTACCCTTGGAATTTTCTATTCTTTATCTGGAGACTTGCGTATGCGTCGGGCTCACGCAGATAAAAAAAACAATTAAGAATTGTTTGTGGGGGTTTCGCACGAAGTGATCAGTAACTAGAGTATGTCAACTGTTTAGGTTCCTCAAGCTTGGCTTTCGATCACCCCATACTCACATCACAGATGTGTAGGATTGATATTAATTTTTTATATTGTCAATCTAGTACCATGGATATTTTTGATGAACCGAGTTCCTTTATGGAAGAATTGTCTATATTTCTTTCGGCCTCCTGTCCTTAGAAGCCGCCGTCTCTTATCACTCGCTAGTTACCACTCTAGCGAGTGATAAAACGTGATCATGTATCATGACGCGAGCAGTGGGTGTTCTATACAGTACCGTATCTACCCATCGTATAAAAAGCACTACCCTAATATTATTCTAGGCAAAAGCCGAACCCATCTATTGGAGAAAATTTGCAGCATTTGATAACAGCGGGTCGCACACCCTAGCGCCATTCCAGGAAGGACCAATGACATGCAGCACACGGTCGGTTGCCAAGCAAACAAAATATCAGGCAGACTCAATATTTACTCGGTTATAGAATGATTTACTGCAAGGAGGTGAATCAGAGGAAGGGAAGTCGGAAAGACCTCCGGAGTTGAAATACTATCTCTGCAGGTAAGATAGAATGTTTCTCTAGAGAACTACATATTGATTTTAGGGCGAGGGAGTTTCGCACGCCATACCATTGGGCCACAGTTCGTGCGTCGGAAATCACCCTTTTCTTTTACCCCAGGGACTTATTCATTCCATACAGGAGGCTATATTTGATACAGACCAGTAACAGGGAGCTGAGTATTTAGATACACTTCACATTACAGAAAATTCCATGCGATATGCGTTATCGAATGGAATTTGAAGCGGACCTGCAGGAAGAAAATCGATGTTGTTCGCCGCAGAGGTCAACAACGTTGTACAAAATAAGTTATTGCCGATTATAATTTCGGAGAAACGGTAAATGGATCTAAAGCCAAATGGCAGGGTCTGGGTCGGAAATTTAATTGCTTGAAATACGTACATACGTGCCTCCCGCTTTCATCTAGACAGAGGAAATAGGACGACCAAAGCTCAACTGCCACCAAAAAATTCCACCTATTCGCATGGGTCAATCGAAACACTGTGCCTTGTCGGGTGAAATCGGTCCGGTATCTCTAGCTCTAAACCTAATATTCTACTTAGGAGGCCTGCGCTCTGATAACCCCATATATCTACCCCCCGAAAACCCGAAACCCCCGGAAGATAGAATTAGACATCAAAATGCGAGGACTCGTTTGAAAATACTTATATGAGAGACATTCTTTAAAGTTTTGTCATCATGGGGCCCAATCATTCCCAGATACAAAACCAAAATCAGACAGGCCCATATTCTATTCAGCAGATTTCAAAATGCAAGTCGATAATCCAGGCAACCATATATCCCCATTATAAAACAATTTCGACAACTCATGTAAGAAAGCAACATAATTCTCGTGGTACCGCAGCAAACAATTTCCCTTGGGGTCCACCGACTACACACATTGGAAGAAAATGCGGAATGAGATAGAATGAGATATTGAAAATATTCTAGCGCCATTCGAGAGTACAGCCTTATTCTTCCTACAGAACACAGAGATCACAAAAAGACAGCAAGAAATTCAGGTACAGGGGAATTGTGGAAAAATATACTTTCTTCGGATCGGAGCAGAAACGCAACAGACTGAACAACTAAATCAAGAAAGAAAAAAAATGGATGAAAACGCCTATAAAAAGAACTCCACGAAATGAAAAATCACCTGTCGAAATGGCCGCTCTGAAGCCATGCATACACATCCTCAACTTCAAGATTCTGATGGTACAGTTGCTTTGTTGGGTAACCGATTGCCGGGTCTGGAGGGTTTCCTGCGACGCTGTAATGGTTTGAGAAATAGCTGGGAACCTCGAATTGCCCATTGATAGCAATACTTGATACCTCATGGTTGGTGGGGTACGGGGTTTGTGGTGAGACAGGAGCCGGAGGAGTGCTATCTCTCGCACAAATCATTCTTTCCACAATGACACTAAGCTCCGAGGCAGTCTTTGCACTTGCAGCTGCCGCCTCATTACCTCTTTCTCCAAATCCAGAAAGGAGGGTGATAACAAAATGAATGTCTTCTTCATCATTACTTGGCGTGCTGCAAGCACCAGTAGCACAAGTGCATTCTTGCATCTCTTGGCCAAAGAGACGACTCAGCAGAAGTACTATGGCTGCGTTGAAGAGGTAATGATAGTCCGTAAAAGAGTGATGAGATATCCATCCAGAAGACTGAAGTTGCCTTCCTAAGGCTATATTCCGACGAGCGGCGTTTGAACAGATGATGACGTGCTGTTCAATATGTGGTGGCATCTGAGGAACGTTTCCTGAAGACACACAAAAAGCTGCTGTTCGTTGTTTGGCTGCCAATAAGAGGGAAGGTCTAGTTGTCAAGATATGCAGCTTCACTAACATTAGCCAAGGTATCACTAAAGCCAACTTCCTAGATGGATATAATTACCTGATTGTATAGGAAGTGCAAAAGAAGGACAGAGCGTCCCCGAGCAACCCCGTTAATAAGTTTTAATTCGGGTGGAAGACTTTCTTCCCAGGACCGAAGGTCATTGTGGATGTTTTCAATTACTCCGACAACATCACCAATCTCCCTCCCAAAACCGCTTGTTGTTTTACGGACGCGGTAGACCTCTGAAATGGTTAGAGTTTTCCACAGGTACTAGAGTGTATTCATAACTTACTGTTGACGACGTCGCCCATTATTTTGCTAAGACGAACATGTGCGGACAGACCGGCGCCTGAGGGTAATGCATCTCCCTTGATCACAATAAGTTACACCTGAACTCATAACTTTTATAACTTTTTTGACATGGCACTCACAATTTCTGAGGGCAGATCAACGTCGATATCCTCATCGGAAAGCATAACTGGCCTACCCATGTAGCAGCTAAATATCCTGTAATATTATGCACAGTTTTAGAAAAGTACTCCAGGTAATCGGTAATGGATCGTACCTGTCTAAGATGTAAATGTTCCAGAATTCTCGTTTCTTTTCTTCATACTGCACTAACTTCCGAAGCTGATCTTCCGGGCTAGATGCTGATGAAAATTGCGGTCCGGGGCCGTTATACCGCCCTATCCCTCCAGAAACCCATTCGCCTTTCCTCCACGTCCGGTGCAGTCCATGAGATACGGCCATTCTGACGGCAAGGCCAATATACATGTATGCTGCATCTCTTCTATTTGCAGATAGAAGGTAATAGGACATTAGGGTGATTATGCGGAGAGAAGGCAAAGAAGCCTCCTCTACTGGATTAACAAGAAGAAGTTTTGCGCGAGCAAAAAATGTCATTCCGGGGAGTGTATTTGCACTATTATGTGCATAATGGGGAGCTGAATTCTCACGTGTATGATGGTATGCCTGATCTATATGAGTGTGAGGGGATATCGGTTCTGATCCAGCTACGAAATGACGCCAATGCGCTGAAATACCAGCTAATTCGTCTTCAACAGTAGAACTTGTACCGGTTGTTGCCATTACCTGGCAACTGAGGGCGAGTATCATGTTTATCACGCAAAGAGAGGTATAGTCCACAGGCGAGACCGTACCGTTGAGAGGAGGACCATAGTTTGTGACTTCGTACAGCGCTTCGATTTCCAGGTAAATCTTTGACGGGTTAAACCAATGAAATATACCGCCACCATCTACAGGCTGGGTAGATGTGCCACAAGCACATAGCTTGAGGAAGCTATCTAGATGCCTCAAAACAGTTGTCTTTTGAGGTAGTGTATATGGATCCGTGACGGGCAAGGATAATGGTAGGCTATCATGGGTGTAGTAGGAAGATGCTGCTGAAGTGAAAGATAATGCAGGGTCAACTGGAACGCTATGACTAGGTATGTACGACATGTTCCGAGGTATGTGTGGATATGAAGATCTAATAAAATCTCGAATCTTGTCTATAAACGTTGCTCCAGCCGAATCTCCAATGAAACCTGTTAATGCCATCAGCTTCAATCGTTGGTGCTCCATCCGTAATATCAAACTTACTTGAATATCCCTCTGAACAGCTCGAAAATCTGTTTGATTCGTCCCCCGCCTCAAGATCTTCGCCTGCAATAGCTCGGTTTTTGGAGCCAAAAGATCCGTTCTCTGGCCAAACTGCCGCCCCAGGGGAAGTTGGAGATGGTTCTCCACTACTTGAAGTCATACTGCCGTTTTGACCCAGAAAGCTGATTCCAAAACGACCTGCAATATCTTCGCGTACAGCTTGGTCTGGTACTGCCTCATAAAGAGCCTTCTCCAGCGCATATATCCGGGCTTGAAGTTTGTCTACAAAAAGCTCCGGTACCACAATTTTTGCAGAGGCGGGTGGATAATTGCATGTGATGTTTGCAAGATAACATTGTCGACATGGTTGTTCCCCGGTGCCTATATCATATATTGTTAATTCTCAAGTAACTGATGAATATATGAACGACTGGCTCATGGAGAAAAGGAAATCGGTGACGAATAATAGACTTACATCGGATCTTTCGTGTCTTACAGTGGTCGCATCTACATACACAGATACAGTCTCCTGTCAATCATTTCGGTTTTCTCATTAAATCTCGAAGGCAGGGAGACAAACGCTACAGCGATTCTCTTCCTATCTTCATCACGAACTTTCGGTCGTTGGCGGTTGGAGCTTGCTCGCCTTCGAGGCTGAAACTGAATCTCAGGTTGTTCGGACATTGAAGATAGTGATTCAATTTAATATGAGGTGAGATCAAGAGATAATTTCCTCACTGTTTATGGTGTATTGACTTGAACACAGGTAGTTGAAGTTTGAACAAAGTATGGAAAGTACAGAGATATATATCGAACCTTGGTATAAGATTTACGACCCCTAGAACTGCCGTGAGAATTTTGGCTCGGGAGTTATCTTCTGATTGAAGCTTGCGGCAGGAGATGCTGATCTCCAGCGGATGATCTGGACCTGGATGTTTTGATTGATTCAAATCATGCACAAAGATCTCGATTTTGATTTCTTCACCTCTATTGTGCCTAGATACTTGGACAATCTGTGGTACCTCCCGTATATGGGCGGCATTTTTCTATACTGGATCAGCAATCATCTGTAGGTATTGGCGCATATCAGCGCTGTTGGCATGGTATCGAATAGGCATGGCCGTTTGAAAAGCCTCATTACAAAGTCTGCCTAGCTATCATCAAGAAATTCCAACTCACCGGAATTACAACCTACCGTGTTTATCCTTTAGCAGCCAGAATCAGAAGAATAGGAGGACACTGAATATTAAATATGACCCCTTTTCCTTCGTTAAATCAAGTTAGGTCTTCTAGGTATTAGGTGCAATTACCACTTTTTTTTGTACTAGTGCCAAGTTAATGAATGGTTTAGAAAAGGCAATCCGGCATCGAGATCGTACCGGATCTATGGAGGGCTATCCAAGGGCGTGATTGTTCATTCGAATATATTTATGCAACTTTCAAGACTATCGAAGCCATTTACAGGAACAAATGCACATTGCGTCAATTGATCAAGGGTCACCACGTGGAATACCCGTTCTCTCAGCGCCATCTGTGGGGAAGCGGGACAAAGTAGGATGTGTGATACACGGGTCAAGTTTAGGCAGGGTACCCAAACGATTATGAAGGTCTTAGCAAAGGCCCTGAGAGTTTTTATGCGTGAGCTAGGTTAGCAACCCCATAGTTTTGAAAATTAAATGACAGAGATCAGCGGCGAAACTATTCCTGACGCAACATTCACTATACTATTTTTGATTGGTCTAGAGGCAGATAGCTATATGTACGTACATCTCTACTGGTACGCACTCGATCCGATAGCACTGTTAAGTTGGTGGAAGCTAGGGCTCTTTTCAAGCCTCCGATCCACCAAATTTGGATGCAAAGTCCCAGCACCACGTCCAGAAATCTCTTGCCGCAAAAGGTTTCTACCCAAAATCAGCTTAATAGGCCAAAATCTCAGAAGAGTATCAAATCGGTTGTAAAAAAAACAAAAGTCTAATGGCATTTGAGTAGAACGGCTTGATGCAGGAGTCCCTCTAAACTTTTCTGACATCGGCAGAGTACGCAAGGGGAAAAATCAAGGTTGATCACCTCGGAAGGTGTAGAATTTCCAATCACTTACATAGCTGCCTAGCTATGTACTGTACTGTACGCCCTCCATGGCACAAACGACACGAAGCTGTCCGGCAGTTTTGAGTTACAAAATTCTTATACGTAATAATCTCTTAGACGCCCAATCTACCACTGAGAGATTATAAATTCTAATATCCTAGCCGGACTCTAGGTAGCAGTCTGGATAATGCTCACCGCCAACCAAAATTACATGTATCTAGGCGCAGGAGTTACCCTAGGTTCGTAGACTCTGCCAAGACAAGGCGCGGTGAGATAGAACGAATTTGCCCTAAACCAAAGATACAATCTACAAACCTGAACCTCATCATGGACATGATCAACCTTTCATGGTTTGTGGTTCGCACGCCTTGTGTGACAGGTTTGGGCTCAGGCAGACAAACACATTGAGAAATAAAGTCTTGGATCTAGTAATCAGTATTCTTAGATATTAACTGTCAAAGTGTAGGGGATATATTAAGTCGGGGATCTTCATTCAAAGTAAACATGGAAATGGGTCTGGCCCGGATTTCAAACATTGAAGACCCTCATTATGTATCTTTTTATTTCGGAAGCGAAACCGGCACCCGCAACCGTTACTAGAACATTTTGCACTCGTCTTCCCTTATATGGGATGAACGCGTATATCTTGAGTGTGGTCGATCGAATCTTGGCATTTTAACACTGGCCTTAGTAATGCTATGGGACGGAAAAATCCCGGCCGGAGGTCTATGTTCGGATTAAATATAATCAGTTGTGCGCGGTGAACACAATAATAAACAGCTCCCGTTTTGATTTCTGTGTTAGATACAGGCTAAACTCCGTTTATTTGCACTCTCTTGACTCAATTAATGAGGCTAGGCATGCATTATCGATATTTAGTTGCAAATCGTTCAAAATAACATCCCGCGGCGATGGGACGCCAGGCCCTGCACTCTAATTGATTGCAACTTAACATATATGTTAGTGGTATCGATTTACTGGGAGCCTGGGATCTTCAAACCATCGTTAATCTCAGCGAATAGTTTGCTAGTTAGTGGGTATACGTTATTCTCCGCAAGCACATTCGTTCTTCTGCACCAGTTTGACACCATCTTACAAAATATCATGCCTTTTGCTTCCCTTCGGCTTACTTTCCTCAAGCCCCAAGGCTATTCTTCTCATAAATTCCCGGCCTTGTCTTTGCATAATTCCCTCTGATATTCTCTAGAGGTGCTAACAGCCACAAAAAAAAAAAAAAAAGAAACAGTTAAGCCTTTAACAATTCCAATCAGATGTCAGCGCATCATGTTTGCATATAAAGCATGATATCCAGAGGAAAATAAATTTAAGCTTCCCATCCAATCTGGACAATTGCCCGACCATTATTATGTGCTGGTCAAACAGGACACCTACGTGGTAAAAGATTGAAGGTGGTTTCGACAATTCGAGAGCGGTGACGACGAGAATTGTGACAGCACAGGCCTGGTACCCATGCAAACATGACATGCACAGACGAATATATCATGTACTTGAACAAGGAACAGTCATCGGAATACCAAGATACTGGTACGAGTGATAGCCTATGATGCCGAGGCCCTAAGTCGCTGCTTTATGATTCGCCTTGTGGATGCCTGTCTACCAGTAAGGTCAGGACGTTTCGCTTCTTTTGCTTTATTTTCAACTTTGTTTGGTCGTCCCGCATTTTGATACTTGGCAATGATATAAATGGCGCGTTGCCCCTGCCCAGAGAATCCCCTCGAAAGAGCTCGCAAAAACACCCCATCACACTGGAAAACTGTAACGTCAAGTCTCCTAGATACCCAGGTATAACGACATGTTGATAGCAGACAAGCTTTGAGGTCAACCCCTTCGGAGCATCTCCCGTCAGTCCTGTGACACAAAGAAACTGGGGTGTTTGCATGTCGAGAGCAAGGGGATACGTATCCCATGGCCAAAAGACCCTACGTATTGGCTCGTAGCAGAAGTTAGTTTTGCCGGATATGCGTATTTTTCCGCATGTCAGCTATTCTGTTGACACATGCAGCGGTAAGCCTTTTGAGTACACGCCATGCGTCAAGTGCCGATTGCGGAGCGATGGCGATCTACGTACTTCTCGGCACAATCATCCGAATAGTGATCATTCTGGGGGTACTACGTTTGAAAGTGAAACGGCGGGGTGATCCGCCCTGTGAAGCCACCATGTGAACTACCACGCAGCTACTATATTCACTGTTTATACCCAGTCAGCACACATAGACAGCGGTGAACCGTGTACCGGATACCGTATCTCCATGTGAGGAAAAATGGAGTTAAAAATTGCAAGGAGAGCTAGCTGACGAAACTCAAGGCCCTGCATATGGATGATCTTCACTCAGGGCTTTAACTGTCATCTTTTCTCACGAAATTGGGATATACCTTAGTAAGAGTGGATCTCTACACTTTAATCATAATCCACTGAGCGGATCGAAGCGCCTCTTGTAGAGCTTCTGGTGCAAGTGTACATACATTTGGAGGTTCTTTCTATAAAATTTTCGGTTCTATTACATGTACAGTACCCATGTATACATGTATGTATGGGTATAGTCAGATTAATGAACCACCAACTCAGAAAATCCAAGAAGATTTATCAACAGTGCACATTATATTACCCGCGAAATGTACCATTAATCAGTTTCTATGTATCTCCTCTCCATAGTTCTAGCTCGGTGAGATTTTGCGGTAAACATATCCCACTGACATGTACGAACTGCAGATAGATACCTTACATGGATGCGTATGTTATATATGTGGTTTGTTTCTATATAATATAATCTCTCTTCACACTAGATTAAAGTACGCAGCTAATAATGCTATATATCACTTGGCACGACGTCACTTGGTAGTCGCGCTTCTATTGACGTCTACTCCAGTCGTTTTTGAAACCTTTCACTGTTTTGTAGAGGAGATAGGTTATAATTAATCCGAGTGGTGTTGCGATGTCAAAGGGTTGGGGTTGTTTAATTAAAGTACCAGCAAATTCCCGTCTTGGTATATCTTGGTATTAATTCCAAGAGCTGCAGGCTGGATCTTTGAAAATTTTAAAAAAAAAAAAAAGGTTACACTACAGCGAGATCCGTCAGGGAAGCCGGATGCAAGCGGATCTGGAAAGGTTGAGTTCAACTGTTTCATTCGCTGTACTTCTCTAAAAGCAAATTTTGCTTGCAGAATTTGTACAAATTCCACATACAATAAAATCGAACAATATTGTACATGGCAGTGAGATTTCTGACTCGAGCCACTCCTCGGAGAACTTTGACAAATAGACCCATATACGCATCAACTATTTGATATCTTCGGGATGCTTTCTGGGTTCTTATTGGTAAACACCAGGTGGTTTTGGGGGCGGACTGGGTTTGCATACCCCCAAAATCCGGTACTTCATGCAGCTCTTTGATGGCTGTATGCATTCCCAGCCCGTTCCCAAAACGCCAACTTTTTACGAGCGATATCAAACGTCTACTACATATATACATGTCACATATGACGTACACAGGAGACAGTGGGGTCCATCAATGCCAATAAAAACAAGCTTTTAATATGCTCAGGTCGGTGAGAGCGTACATGCATGAGAATTG